CTCTTTCCCCAGATGGATTGTAAAGAGAGAGGAAAACTGGTACTGGACCCACCCAAATCCATTGCTCAAAACAACACTTTTCAGGCAGTCCAGGCCTAGGCTAGGCAAATCTTAATTTGTTTGCTGGCTTAAAAAAAAATCAAAACACCTTTTATCATTTGTGGCAATTTTGATTTATGTATAAAGCTTGCCTTGCCTCACATGTGAGTATTTCCTCACATGGTTAATAGGGTTTATAGTTTACAGAAAGCTTTCATGTATGCAACCTCTCATTTGACGTTCTCAGCATGGTGTGGGTACCAGACAGGAACAAGCTACAGTTCAGAGAGGTAGTACTGGCCCAAGGTTGATCAGCTCATAGGCAAGTGACCTGGCCTCCCATCCAGGTGACCAGACTTCAGGGTCAGGGATGTTTAGGGCTCCTGGCAGAGTGGGGGAAGCATGGGCTTTGGAGCCCAGAGACCTGATTTTATAGCCTTTCTGAGTCCTGGTTTATCTGTCTATAGAATGAGGGCTTGTATGCCTACCCTGACAGCTTTGCTGGGGACATTACATGAGAACAGGTCTGAAGTGCATGATACGCCCATGGCTGAGTCTCATTCCCCTCACCTCTTTAGCCCTGCAAAATCTGGAGGAACACTGTGTATCAAATATAAAGTTCTATCTTGGTGATTTAACCATATTTTTCATCTTCCCTTCCCCACTCCATTTAATTGGCAACACTGACTTTGCTCTTTGCTCCTAGGAAACGGAGAACAAGGGAGGCCCTTCCCCATGACCGATGCTGAGAGAGTGGATCAGGCATACCGAGAAAATGGATTTAACATTTACGTCAGTGATAAAATCTCCCTGAATCGCTCTCTCCCTGATATTCGGCACCCAAAGTGAGTGTAACATCTCTCATCTTCTGGGATCTAAAGATTTTGCCCTGGGCTCTTGTTGAGAATTAAAGAAAAAGGTACATAAAGCACTGCTGGAGGGGATTTCCTCCTGTTACCCAGGGCCTTCGTGCACAGGTTCGTGTGATCAGATTCTCCTAGAATTTAGAACTGGTGTGGCCGAGGGACAACATTGTCTCTCCAGAAGAGCTGGTCTCCTTCCTCTTTTCAACCAGCGGAAACCATGACCTCTGTATTTCCTTTTTTGACTCTAGCCCACAGGGAAGTCTATACCTCAATTTGCAAGACACTTGCAGCAGCCGTTTCAATCCTCCCTTTCTCCACCTTCTGTGTGTGACATTTTTATTTTTATTTTTTTTAATCTTTATTTTAGCTATCCTGTGCACCTGTACATCTATATGTTGGTTATAAGCTATCTCAACTCACTTTGAGAGAGGACATATCATAATGATTATAAAGATAACAGTGGCAGCTAACATTCTTTGAACAGGTAGCATGTGTCAGGCACTTCATTTGCATTGTCTCAGGTCCCTGTGATGTAGGTCCTGTGACGATGCCCATTTTTACAGATGAGGAAACTGAGGCTTAGATGGGTATTATAACTCATGTAGGGCCACACTAAGAAGGTGAGCCAGTTCTTGAGCTCCAGTTCAACCAAAAACTGCTCTGGATCTTAAGCCATCCTGCCTCCCCTTTTTAATAGGAGTACTGTAGTGGTCATGGTGATTTTCTAGCAGAGGGGTACCTCTTAAAGTTGCTGTGCATTAGAATCACCTGGATGGCTGTTAGTTCGAACACAGGACCTTGAGCCTCAACGCCCATAATCCCTGATTCAGTAGATCTGGGTCAGGGCCCAAGAACTTCATTACAAGTAAGCTCCCGCGTGATGTTTGTGGGGTCACGCTTTGGGAACCACTGCAAGCAGAAGATTTCAAAATTGTTTATTCACGAAGGCAGTACTGAGTAGAAGTGGAGCATAAACTGTTTCGCTCAGGGACTAAGAAATTAGAAGCCGGGAAAAGATAATAACAGCTAACACTTATTAAGTACTTACTGTATGCCAAGCATTACTCTAAGCCAGCTGTTCTCAGAGTGTGGTTCCCAGGCCAGCAACAGCAGCATCACCTAAGAGTTTGTTAGACATGCAAACTGCTGGATCTCAGCCCAGGTCTACTGAATCAAAAGCTCTGCACAGGGGCCCAGCCGTCTGTGTTCTAACAAGCCCTCCAGGGGATTCCTATGCAAAGCTGAAGTTTTATATATACATTCTTTTTTTATGTTTTTTTTCCATTATGGTTTATCACAGGATATTGAATAGAGTGCCCTGTGCTCTACAGTAGGACCTTGTTGTTTATCCATTCTAAGTGTAATAGTTTGCATCTACCAGCCCCAGAACCAAGGGTACTTTAAGTGCATTAATTCAGCCAAACCTTCCAAAAACCCTATGAGATAGGTACCTTTATTATCACCATTTTACAGATAAGGAATTGAGGCCAAAAAAAAAAAAGGTTAAATAGTTACCGTGAGATGATACAGCTGGTAAGAGGTGGCGCTAGAATTTACATGCAGGAAGTCTGACCTAGAATCCGTTAAGTCATAAGGTCTTTCCACCGTAAGGACTCAGTTGGTAGAATGTAATAATAAAGAATCTCAGTAGCATGTGTGGCTACTTACAAAATGCTTTCTGCCCGCTTACATCTTTCAGTTCCTGCAATAGTACTTTGAGGTTGGCGTTTTTATTATCATCTCCACTTTGTAGATGAGGAAAGCACACAGCTAGGAATCCCCAGCCGGAAGGTGTGCTGCTTGCTCAGGACAGGGCCCAGTTCTCAAGGATTTCTTGCAGCGAGGGGAGGGAGCGAGGGCCTTGCAGGGCTTGCTCCAGCATTTGCTGTTCGTTTCATGGTCTTCACTGTCAAGCCTGGGATTTTTTTCACCTAAGTCTGAGAATGTAGTTCAGATATTACTGATGTTGTTGGATTCAGAACTGTGACCCGACTCTGAGGGTCAGAAACTCAATTTATATGTTTAGCCCCTCTCGGAGTTCAGAATTCTGCACTAATTTCATCTTTCTAAGTCTGGGAAAGAAGTTTCATCTGGGAGCATTATTCTCTTACCTCAGCTACTGCTCTGTGGTTCTGTAGGTTCTCAACTCTGGCTATACCTGGGGTGGTTTTAAAAAAATACAAAAGTCGGGGCCCTACCCCAGCCACTGGAGTCTGAATCTCTGGAGGGATAGCCTGGGTCTGAGGATCTTCTGAAATCTCAGAACGTGATTCTCGCATATAGCCAGGGTTGAGAACTGCTGGTGTGAAATAAGGAATATTTTTACTGTGAGAGAGAGATGCTTTCATCCATTCATTCATCTGTTCATCCAGTAAATGTATATTCATGGTCTTCTGTGTACCAAGCCCTGTGCTGAATACCAGGAACATAATGATAAGTGAGCCATTATTGCTGCTTTGGGCAAGAGCAGGGGGTGGATGGCAGGAGCAGGCCATTACACCACAGGTGAGAACCAGTGAGGGAGTAGGCACAGGGTGCTTTGGAAGCCCAGGGGACACCCCCACCCGACACCAGCCTCTGCGGGAGAGGACTAAGCAAGATGGCGCTTTGCCTTAACAACTAAAGGGGTGAGTCTCCCAGCTGTTAGAGGGAGAGCCAGGGGCGGGGAACAAACCCTTCTGTCTCCCAGTGCAGTGCTCTCTCCCGACAGCCCAGAAGAAGAAAGGTCTTCATAATCAAGGCGTCCTAGGACCCACAGATAGGTCTGTGAATAGAACTCAGGAGGGTCTGTAAACTTGGATGAGAACAACATTGCATTTTTCTTTTCATGAACCTCTCACTGAGATCTGGTGTTCCCTTCAGTTATGACTGTAGACAACGAAGCACCTATGATATTTTCACCAAAAGAAATCATTTACTTTCCCATCACTTTACAGATATCTTGAAATGTCACAGATACTCATCACTGCTTTGGAATGAAGGTAGTTTTTAGAACTTCCACTAGATCTTGTCATTTAATGTGTTAATGAAGAAGCACATTTGTGACTCTATTTCAAATTCTTTTATTATTTTGATAACAGTATTTCAGTCTAACTGGTTTCCTTTACAAGCTCATCTATTTTATTTTATTCATTGTACACACTGTTCTGAGAAGTGACCATAGGCTTCACCAACCTGGCAGAGAGGTTCAGAGTTTGGGTTTAAGGGGAGGAGGCCCAGTTCTGGGTGGATGTGAATTGGGCCTAAGGCTCTCCTGTATTACCAGCCCACCCACCCAACCAGTATCCAGGTTATGGCAAAAGATGTCGCTAAATCCAACGCTCCTGACACCCACCCTTTTTTAGAATCCCGTTGTGGAAGCTGACTTTTATTTTTTAATGGTAAAGATGGGTTTTATAAAATCATTAAGCTGCTTTACTTTACAATTTGAGGGAGGGGGCTACAGTGGAATTTTGCAGAGCTAAGAAAATTGTTTACATTGCTCTGATAAGAAGCAATTTAATATGAACATCTATAAACCTCCATTTCACATTTGCCGTAGTTTGTTGTTAATTTTTTCATATGAAAGTTTTGTTTTTTTGCTTTAAGTCTTGAATACGTATTCATTAAGACTCATTTAAGCACTAGAGCACTGCTAAAATTCCCTGATTTAAAATATCCGTTTCTGATTACATAACGAGACCTCAAATATTTGGCACCTATACAACTGGCACCTTTCAACAAGTGGAATTCTAGGCAGAAGTTAAAAAGAGCTATTGAGAAAAGCCAAAGACACTGAGTTCAGAGAGATTTCCTGGTTGGGCAGGTCTCTGTAAAAGCAAAGTGTTCTGGGATTGATTGGAAAGAAAAGCATGCAACTAAGCACACTCCATCCTGTAGGGTCACAGGGCAAATGAGCATTGAAGCTGAGCTGAAGAGGAGAAGGAGAGCAGTGACGAGCAGGCAAGAGAAAGGGCAGCAGGAGGAAGAAAAAATATCAACAGGAAAGGAGGGAAAGGAGGGTTAAGGCATGACTGGTATAAGATAGACCAGTGTGAAGAACAGGAAAGGAAACATCAAGAAGGGAAAGAAGGAAGAAGAAGGACAATGGTGTGAAAAAGAGGAAATAAAAATATGAAAAAGATCCAAACCAAGGAAAAATGGAATCTTATCCAGAATATCCTATTATAATACTTGAAAGTTAAGAATTAACTCTATTTAATCTGTATTAGTCCACACTGGCAAATAGCAGCACTTGTTATCTTTTTAAAAATTTTATTTACTTACTTATTTATGGCTGCGTTGGGTCTTCGTTTCTGTGCGAGGGCTTTCTCTAGTTGCGGCAAGCGGGGGCCACTCTCCATCGTGGTGCGCGCGCCTCTCACTATCGCAGCCTCTCCCGTCGCGGAGCACAGGCTCCAGACGCGCAGGCTCAGTAGCTGTGGCTCATGGGCCCAGTTGCTCTGCGGCATGTGGGATCTTCCCAGACCAGGGCTCGAACCCATGTCGCCTGCATTGGGAGGCAGATTCTCAACAACTGCGCCACCAGGGAAGCCCCCAGCACTTATTTTGATAAGATAAAAACTCAATTGCAAGAAACTGTCTCACATGGATTATCCTATTGGGAAGCTGACTTTTCATAAATGAGTTGACAGATGTCTTGAAGAGCTTTTCTTTTTTTCCAGGGGAAGTGGGGTGGGAGAATCTTTCCTGCAGTTTGACAGCAGAAATGTGTGAAGAAGTTAGAGCAGTCAAGCCACTCAGTCCCTCCTGTTGCTTTTAGCTTAAACAGCTTCTCTGGCAGGAGCTGAGGTTTATGTTTGCCTTCTACTCCTTCAAACTGAATTTTGGCAGCAGCCTGTCAAGGACAGGACCAAGGGGCTGTTTGTTTGCGCCAACTGCATTTGCTTCCTCCAGAAGCTGCACCAGGGAGCATGCAGCCACGGAGAGTGGAGACTAGGTGGTCCGGCCCCACTTGCTGGGTTTGCACGTGGGAGGTG